TGTTAAAATTGATACGAGAAAGTTGTTTGGAGTTCTAATTTCAAGATGAGAGCTTAAAAGTGTCGAAATTTTAAGTAGAAGAAGAATAATTAATAAATTTTCCATGTTAAGTTTTCAAAGTGGTGGGGGATGCTCTCTGTCTTTCTCACACAATAGTGTTCTCCTTGTCTACGACTTCGCATACCTCCTTGCACATTCTGCTATACTAATAATAAATCGAAGCTTCGGTGATCCAAACGCGAGATGGCACTGATCAAAATTTTTCAGTCGTCGCCTAACTTACCGGCAAAATATATTTCCGTTAAATATTTGTAAAATGAAAAAAAGAAGGAAAAACAATACGTTAATTATAATTTAAATGGAAAGAAGTGTGAAGAAACATAATTTGCAAAAAATATTCTTGGAATTATAGATGTATTCGAAAACTATATATTACATATACAAATAAATATAAAAATGACAACTTAAAAATGTAAATACGTAAAAGATAAGTATAAAACACATTAAATTTTAAGAAAATTTTAACATGCCATCTTTTTTTTAATTATATTCTTATATTACAAAATTTGAACAAAAATTATCATTGCTAGAAAATTCGATTTTATGATATGATAAAAAATATCTGAAAAGAAGTGGCATGCGAAATTTCTCTAAAGTTTTAAGAGTTAAAATTTACAAATAAAAAATTAATAATTTAAATAATTATTTTTGTTTATTTTGATTTTACATTCTTTTTTAATATATTTAAAAAATATATAAATCCATATAATGTTATTTATTATATATTATTACTGTTTAGATATTCATGTATTCATCCATATTTCTTATTAATAAGAAATACTAGTAAGTTACTAGTGTCTACCAGCTATTGCCACGTGTTTTTACTATACATTACGTATAAACATAACCTCATAAAAAGCTTTTATTCGTATCGCATCGTATTTTAAAAAAAATTAATATAATGTCAAAGAAAAAGAAAGTCAAAATTTATAGAACAAAAAAGAAACAAATATCCGAAACACAAATAATTGCAAATTTACAATCAAAATATGATGCTGTAAGTTTTAATTTTCTTCTTTAATTTTATAATAATGTTCTTACATAAAGTTTACATGTTTACAGATTGATGAAACAAAGGTAACAAAATTTACAGATCTTCCACTTTCATCAAAGACCTTAAAAGGATTAGCAGAAAATAATTATTTTGAAATGACAGATATTCAAAGACAAAGTATTGGTTTAGCATTGCATGGAAACGATATTTTAGGAGCAGCAAAAACTGGCAGTGGAAAAACTTTAGCATTTCTTATTCCAGTAAAAAATTTAATTAAATTTATGTAAAAAAATTAATTTACAATAAAAATATAAGTTTAAATTATTTAAGGTTTTAGAAATATTATATTGCAAACAGTGGACAAGATTAGATGGTCTTGGGGCACTTATTATTACACCAACCAGAGAACTTGCTTATCAAATTTATGAAACTTTACGAAAAGTTGGTCAATATCATGATATTTCAGCTGGCCTTATTATTGGTGGAAAAGATTTAAAATTTGAAAAAAGACGTATGGATCAATGTAATATTGTTATATGTACTCCTGGTCGTTTGTTACAACATATGGATGAAAATCCTTTATTTGATTGTATAAATATGCAGGTAAATAAATATACAAATATAAATAAGTTATTTATGAATATAATATGAATTAAATATTAATTTATTAATATAAATAAATAATAATTAATATTATAACATATATATATATATATATTTTAATTTTTGCAATTCTAGCTGTTAGTATTAGATGAAGCTGATAGATGTTTAGACATGGGTTTTGAGCAAACTATGAATTCTATTATTGAGAACTTACCTCCAAAACGACAAACGCTTTTGTTTTCAGCAACACAAACAAAGTATATATATTTTAAAAGTAAATAAAATATAATCTTTATTTTTATTATATTTATTAATATATATTTGTTTTATTTTATAACAGATCTGTAAGAGATTTAGCCAGGTTAAGTTTAAAAGATCCTTTATATGTGTCAGTACATGAACATTCTAAACATATAACACCTGAAACACTTCAACAAAGTTATGTTGTTTGTGCTTTAGAAGATAAAATATCGATGTTATGGTCATTTATACGGAATCATTTAAAACAAAAGATTATTATATTTTTTTCTAGTTGTAAACAGGTATAATATAATATAACATAATATTTAATATACGTGATTTAATAAAAAATTAATAATAATTATAAGATTATCTTTTAAGGTAAAATATATAAATGAAATATTTTGTCGATTAAGACCTGGTATAAGTTTATTGGCACTTTATGGTACTTTACATCAACTTAAAAGAATGGAAATTTATGAAACTTTTTGTAGAAAACAATTTGCAGTTTTATTTGCGACTGATATTGCTGCTCGCGGACTAGGTAAATAAAAAAAATGTTTTTTTATATGAATATTAAGAAAATCTAAAATTTAATGTTTATATAATAATTTAAATAAATTTTAGATTTTCCTGCTGTAAATTGGGTTATACAAATGGATTGTCCAGAAGATGTAAATGCATATGTACATCGTGCTGGTAGAACAGCAAGATTCCAACAAAATGGTGAATGTTTACTGGTTTTGCTACCTTCTGAAGAAAAAATGGTACAAAAACTCAAAGAACGCAAAATACCAATATCTATGATACAGTAAGTTAAAATTTATTTTCTAAATAAGTAATTTATATTAATATTTTATATTTTATTTAAATATTTAAATATCTAAATAATTATTAATAATTTAGAATCAATCCAAACAAATTACAATCTCCACAACGTAAAATGGAAGCATTATTGGCACGAGATGTTTCATTAAAAGAAAGTGCTCAAAGAGCATTTGTAGCATATGTAAGATCGATCTTTTTAATGAAAGATAAAGAAATTTTTAATGTTCATACATTAAATACCGATTTATTTTCAAGGTAAAATATAAAATATATATAATTATTATTAAAATGCTTTTTTCATTATTGCAATTAATTTGTATTTTCAGATCTTTGGGTTTAGCTATACCTCCAAGAATTCGATTTCTTCAAAGACTGGAACAAAAACAACAATTAACTAATCAACATATTGAAGATAATAAACAAATTATTTCTCATAATGAAATAAATTGCAATATAAATGAACAAATAAATATTGAATATTATAATCATAATGATAAAGAAAAGGAACAAAAAAATATATCTCAAACAATAAATCTAAATGATTTTACACTTGGTATAAAAATGATTATTGACATTTGTCGAATTATATATTTTTTTTACATATACATATATGTATTTCTTTTTTTCATAGATGATAGTGATAACGATGATATATTAACTGTGAAACGAAAAAATATAAATCTTGATGATATACCAGTTGCTATCAATGATAAAGAAGATGAAGCTTCAAATAAAAAAAAAGCAGTTACAAAAGCTGCTGTTGCTAAAAAAATTCTTCGAAAAAAAATATTACCAAATAAGAAAATTATCTTTAATGAAGAGGGAAAGGTTCGATTTTCTTTAGTTTTAAAATCAAGATATAATAATCATATATATAAAATTATAATATCTTATTTTGTAGGAATTACTAAATCCTTCTAAAGTTAAAATTTCCGAATTAGCAAGGCAATACGAAAATGAAGAAGATTCTGGTATTAATATAGAAATAGCTAAACAAATATTACGCGAAGAAGATAAATTTGATAAACAACGATTCAGAGAAAAAATAAAGGAAAAACATAGAGAAGAAAAACGCAAATTAAAAGCTAACAAGAAAAAAGAAGATGATACAGATGGTGAAAATGAAATTGAAGATGCTACAAAGGATTATAGTAGTGATAATGAACACAATGATCCAGATTTATCCTGGTTACCAGACCCAGATAAAATTTATGGTAAACAACAAGAAAGTCCTAAAGAAATTTTAAATATTTCGGAATCGGAGAAAAGTGAAGAGGAAAGTGAAGAGGAAAATAAAATACATAGGTACACATTTTAATAAATAAAATATTAAATACATTAATCTACAAAAATATATTTGTTTTATTTCTAGCATCATTTTAATCTTTGGTAATTTTATACTTACAGACCATTTAAAAGAAAACTTATAGTGCAAAACGAATGCAAAAAGAAAAAGAAGAAACAAAAAACATCTCTTAAAACAGATAATACAGACTTAAAAGCATATGAGGAACTAGCATTACAACTTCTACAGAATTAATATAATTAACTTATTATATGTAGATCAAAATTTTAATAATTTGTATATATTCTATAATAACAATATTGTTAATAATATTAAATATTGTTAACTATAATATTTTTATTCAATTAAAATAAATTAAATCTACTAATATATTTTATTATAAATTATTTGTTTAATGAATTATCATTAAAACAGAACTACCAAAGATATATATATATATATATATATATGAAATGATAAAAAAAAAATTCATAACTTTTAGAATAGATGGTACTCACTAAAATTTTAATACTAAAGCAAATGACTTGCTTGCTTTGAAAGATATATATTTATTTGTGAGATGCCAAAAATCAGGAATATATTCAAGAAAAAAAGAATAATTAATTGATTCACTTTCGAATAAAATGAACAAATTATTCTTAAACGAATCGGAACGAAAAATTGTTTTTAATTTTGAAAATTTTTATTTTTTAATTATATTTTTATTAAGATTTTTTTTTTATTTGATAAGTATTATCTATCTATTAAATTAAAGTTATGAACCTCTTTTTTTATCATTCTATAATTGCAAGAAAATATTTTTAATGAGATGTAAATAAAAAATTTACATCTCAAACACGTCTTTTAAAAATAATTACAATATTTAATCTGCAATCTTTAAAATGTACTTTACAAACTTTAATTCAATATATATGATATTATATTACATAAGATATTACTATATTACAGGTATCAAATTTGTCACTTTACTTAAAAATTATTTTATATAATTGTGCGACTTACACAATTTAATTATAATCTTTTTTAAGCAAAAAATACAGTTACTACTATCAACTGAAAAGATATTCAAATATTGTATCAGATAATGAAATATCTCTTCTAAAAAGCAAAATTAAATATATATGTATATTTTTATATTATATTAATTTTTAATCTGATATATCTTATCAGTCTTAATTAGATGCTATTTTAATATGATTCATTATCGTATCAACAACTTCTCTACTTGTTGCTTGTCCACCAAGATCAGGTGTATGAACACCTTGATTAATAGTTTTATTAATAGCATTCTGAATTAAAGTAGCATGATCCTTATGTCCAAGATGTCGTAACATATCAACAGCAGCATTTAACATTGCAATAGGATTGGCAATATTTTTTCCAGCAATACGTTTACCTGTATTGCGAGTACCTGGTTCAAACACTGTGTAATGATCACCAAAATTTTTACCTGCTAATAATCCTGCACCACCTAATAAACCACATACTACATTTGATACAATTGCTCCATATAAATTAGTTGTTAATATAATATCAAATTGATGTGGATTGGAAACCAATTGCATACAAGTGTTATCAATAATCATGTCATTATGAGTAATATCTGGATAATCTTTTGCAACTTTTCTTGATATTTCTAAAAATAATCCATCAGAGAGCTTCATTATGTTTGCTTTATGAACTGTGGTAATTTTTTTTCTTCCATTTCGCTTAGCATATTCAAATGCATATCTTGCAACACGTTCAGAATTAATACTTGTAATAACTTTCATACTTTCTACAACACCTTTAACACTTTCATGTTCTAGCATAGCATATTCCCCCTCTGTATTTTGTCTAACAATAACAATATCAATATTTTTATGTCGTGAATTTACTCCTGGGTATGATACACAATGTAAGACATTTACATAAAGATCTAATTCATTTCTAAGAGCAACATTTCTGGAAAGTACATCAGCTTCTGTACTACGAGTTTCAATGTTTCCTTTTAGTGCTACACCATTTCTACGAATTGATGTAATAGCATAATCTAAATCAACATTGTCATTTGCATTTGGATCGATTTCTACATCTTCAAAATCTACTGGTACACCTGCATATCTGAAAATCTGTAAGAAATATATAAAAAATTATATAAGATTTTTTTCATTAATATATTATTAAAAAATTTAACATTTAATTACAACAGATGAAATAAATAAAAACATATACTCAAAAGATCATTTTTTATTAAAATTATATAAATATTTATATAAATATTTTTTGTACCTCTTTTACATAATTCATCAATTCTGGACCAATTCCAGCACCAGGTAAAAGAGTAACTGTATGTCGTCCTCCATAATGAGCTTTTGGTATAGGCATTACTTTTTTAATAGTTGGAGTTTTATGTTGTATTTCAAATGCAGAAAGTGAAGCACATCTATGAATTTGGGATACAACAGTTTTTGGACGTAAATATTTAACGATAGATCGGGCAGCCATTTTGAGTATTATTCTATAAAATAAAATTTAAAAAAATAAATAAAATTTTAATATTATATATATAAATTATATTTTATCACATACTATTACTTTACAAATTCTATTTTAACAATACCTTGAAAGACCTTGCCAACTCCAAATTTTCAGCGCCGTTTAAATTACAACTTTTATAGAACGGAAAATTAATATTAAATTTTAGATAATACTGCCATCTATTAAAATTATTTTTAACATCACATAATATTAGAAGTATTTTCACAATATTGAAAATAAATATTTTTTAATATAATTCTATAATAATTTTTTACATAAATAATGTGTATTATAATTACTGTGAATATACAAAAAATTTAAAAACATTTTTCATGTAGTTAAATTATTTTTTTATAAAAATTAATTTTAAAAACAATTACTTTACATCCTGAAATATTAATAAAAGCATTTTAGTTAAATGGCTATTTTAGTTAAAAATTAAATTGTATATTTTATTGACTTTATTATATAAAAATTATTAAATAAGTATTAATCAACAAAAAAAGCTTAACGTACAAATATTTCAAATTTATAGGTCATGATGTTCTAAAAAAAACTATCTTTGATAATAAAAATATATATTTTAATGTTCTATGATTGCAATAATTATAAAATTTTCTATTTAATTACTATTTATATAGTTAGAACAATCTCAGGATATCTATAATAAATTAATTTTTCAATGTCATTCATAATTTCATAAAATCTTTTTTTTGATTTATGTTGGTCCTTCTGTTATTTTTCGCGGCAACGCGATAATAAGACGCTAAAGTGCTAGAAATCCCGCCGCATTGTTCGTAGTTATTTCTTGTATAATTTATAGCTATTGTCTAAGTAAGTACTATAACTAAAAATTATGATTTAGCAGATACAATCATAATAAAACTTAATTCAAATTTGTGTTATTTATTTCTAAATTTTCAAATAAGTTTATAAGAAAAATCTTTGATTACTTCCCGGCTATCATACCGCCATTTTGCATCATATTCATCTTTTAATATCTTCAGAGCTTTTTTCTTATAAAATTATGACGTGTATTATTATTTTACATTGAAATAATTTTTTTTCCAAACTTATTTTCATTATCAATGCATTTTTTAAATCTGATCAATTACTTTAATTGTAACTTCATTTTTATTTCTGTTTATTATTTAGTTTATGATTTCAATTTTAATATTTTTTTTTCTGTATCATAAAATATATTTGCAGAATGAGCAAAGGAAAGGATTCATCCCCTGCAGAAACTGCAGGAGGAGAAGAATTTAGTGTTG